CCCTCTTGAGGCAACTGGCATGTTTAAGATTTCCACCTCCTAAATTAATTTCTATTTAGATACCACTTACATCAACCAAAAACAAGAAAAAAATTCATACAATAACTGTATATAATATATGCTTATCCATTCCACACATTTATTAAATAAATAAGAACTTTGTGTATTTACTTATAAACAATATTTTAGTTTGTTCATTAAAAAATACAACTTAATATAATCAAAATGCTTAAAGGATCTGGTTAATAAATGTTGACTAATATCCATAAATAAAAAATCTCCGGCCTCCCCAGTGGCTCAGGGGTTAAGCGCTGGGTTGCGAAGCTGCCCGCAGCCTCTGCAGCGCCGGTTCGATCCCCGGCCACTGGGCAAGGGTCCCACATGGCGCTCAGACCTCTCCTGCTGCCCTCTGCTCCCCTCAGCAGTGTACTTCGGTCCTTCTGCCTGCTCTGCTCTCGGCTCTGACTCTGGTGAATTCTCTCACCCTCCGGTGCTTCTGACTGTACCCAGTGCTTGTATAAATAAATAAATAAATAAATCTAAAAAAAAACAAAATCTCACTTGCAAAAACCAGTTTGGCAATAGTTATAGCTGAGCTTTTTGTGAATTTCTGTGAAAGTGGACTCTTCAAAATGTAAGACATGACATAACGTCGAGATCCGACTTTAAACATTATTTTATAACTCCAAGTTAGAACTTCAAAGAAGAAATTCCAGCAGTATTTGTTTACTTTAAAAATTCCCCTGAGTAGTTCTCTTTTTTTCAAAATCAAATAGAATAAGTAAATAAAAGCAGTAATTGAAGGACTTCTATAAATAACAAAGCTATACTTTCACAGCTAAAAACTAATGATATTCACATTTCCCTGAGAGCTCAGTTTGCTTTGAGAGAGAGAGAGTTGTGTTTCCTAAAGCCATTGAGAGCAGAATGTGATGGAAACTAAGAACATTTATCTGTTGGTGTTGGAAGAACTTGAACTTTAGAACACCCTTGCAGCTGTCCCTTAACCTCCCCTACAGATTCCATCCCATCAGAGTCTCTGGACCTCATTGTCTCTACATCCAAAAGAATCAGAGACACAGCCAAGCAGCCCAGCAGCCTGCAGCAAATGGATCTGACTGCTAGTCCTGCTTTAACTTGGAACTCATGTCTAAGAAGTTGACTCCTGGAAGCCACTTGCCTGGCAGCCTTTTTTCTTATCTCTCTTTACCCTTGAGAATGGAGTCATGTTCACAAACTCCAGGGCCCCTGGTGACATTTCTAGTCCTGGGTCCTTAGACTAGGACCTGGGTCCTCTTCCATCTTCACCCCCTTTTCCCCTCCACCTTGGGGAGCTCTGTGCAGTCTCATCACCTGTATGGAGAGAAAGTCTGTTGTACCAGGAGATCCTACAATGTTCCTGTCTGAGTCCCTTTGCCCCTTGTCTCCAGATCATTTGGCACCAAACTGCCTCATGCCTCTACTGGTAATGGGTTATAACAGTTAACTTGCTGCAAACTACATTTTTATTTGTTTATCTGGTAATGAAATTTAGTTTGAAGAGCTTCCATCTGGGCTAGGGCCTAGAAGCTTAAATCCTGATGATCTAAAGTTTCCCAAAAATGTCTTGAACTTTTTTCTTTCCCTAAAAACTTTAAGTATAGAATGCTGGACTTTATTAATAGGTATATCTATCTGCTAATTGATGCCATTAGGAGATTTCCTATTTCTTAAACATCAATTAACTGAGATTTTTCCACAATTCACTTGGATATCTGGTGATAGAAACAGCATTTGGAAACCTTCCTTTTGTCCTGACTGAGGTGTTCTGAACTCGTCCTAAAACTTGGGTCCTGCAGTTAGAGCCAGGTCTCTAACACAGAGACCCTAAATCCTCACTTTCTCAGCATAAGATTGATGGGCTCAGAATTTGCTGACTGCTCTTACCAAAGGTCACCATGACAACCACACTGTTTTTGAGGAGACACTCTATGTATGCCCTCAATGTTATCTTTGGATTTCCTCTTTAGGAGTTATTTCCAGAATACTGGAATACTACTGACTTCTCCTGTAGCTCATAAATGGTTTCTCAAGATGATCTCAAAGAAAGAAAAGCATGTAAGCAATGACCACATCATTGAAAAGTGCCCAGCATCCCAAGGGACCACTGGGAGGGCAATAAAGCATTGGGTGTGGCCTGGAAACATCATCTCATTTTCTGCTGAGGCACATCTCATTTTCTTGATGAAAATAAAAATAATGATATTTGCTAGGGGCCTATGGCCCATATATTGAGTGTCTCTATGGTAAGGTCTATTATTGACAAATATAAGGCTTGACAGATATAAAGAACTGCATGACCATTTGCTGAATTGAATTAAACTATTCCAATGGACAGCTTCCTTACGGTCATTAGTGTTTACGAGTAAGCAATGCATGTGTTCTAAATTTTCCACCAATATGTTTACATTTTCCCTCCTTGAGTTTCATGGTAGGCAGCTAAACTGTCACACTGACCCTAAGGCACACAACTTTTCACCCACAAACTAGCATTTCTATGTATCCTCAATGATCTAAGCAGAAATCTCACCTGTAATTTTCCAAGTCTTTTTAAATCTGCTTTGTACTTTAGCTTTTTCTAACCAAAGCTTTCCTATGAAAATTAAGTTCACTATCAGGCAAGGATAAACAGCTGGAGCTACATCAAATTAAAGCGCTTCTGCACAGCAAAAGAGACAATAACCAAAACCAAGAGAAACCCCACCAACTGGGAGAACATTTTTGCGCACAACACTAATGATAAAGGACTGATCACAAAAATCTACAAAGAGCTGATGAGACTCAATAAAAACAAAGAAAATAATCCAGTCAAAAAATGGGCAGAAGAGCTAAAAAGAAACTTCTCCAAAGAGGAAATGCAAATGGCCAACAGGCATATGAAAAAATGTTCAACATCACTTGTAACCAGGGAAATGCAAATCAAAACTACAATGAGATACCATCTTACACCAGTGAGAATGGCACATATTAAAAAAACTAGCAACAACAAATGTTGGCGAGGGTGTGGGGAAAAAAGAACTCTTCTGCATTGCAGTGGGAGTGCAAACTTGTCCAACCACTATGGAAAGCTGTGTGAGACTTCTTGACCTACTAAACATAGAGCTTCCATATGATCCAGAAATTCCAATCCTAGGTATTTACCCAAATGACACAGAAACATTAATTCCAAAGAGCACCTGCACCCCTATGTTGATAGCAGCACTGTTTACAATAGCTAAGCTTTGGAAACAACCCAAATGCCCAAAAATAGATGACTGGATCAAGAAGATGTGGTACATATATACCATGGAATATTACTCAGCATTCAAAAAAGATAAACACATGCAGTTTGTAGCAACATGGATGGAGCTAGAAGGGATCATGCTGAGCAAAATATGTCAGAAAGAAAAAGGAAAATACCGGATGGTCTCACTCATAGCAGGAATTTAGAAAACCTAAATAACGGACCAGGAAAAAGACTAATTAATACAAAGTAAAAATCAAAATAAACAAGCAACTATAAACCAGAGACACACTATGGGGAGGGCAGGGGAGGAGCGGGGAGAGAAAGGACTAGGGTCAAAATAAGGGGGGGGTTACAATTGTATGGGGAATGTAAGCAAAATGAAAATGCATACATTGTGCAAAAATGAAAAATGATGAAAGAATTATATAAAATAAAATATTAAAAAAGAAAATTAAGTTCACTATCAGTTCTAATACCTCTTCTTACCAAACCACTGAGGAAGACAAGCATAGTATGACACAACTGATATGGGATACAGCTCGGTAAAGAGATTTGAAACCACATGATGAAAATAAAGCACACTGAATAATGCAGTTACTATGCTGTTACCATTGTTGTTGCCTTTTAAATACAGCCTATTTAACAGGATCTCTTAATCTGCTTCCCCATCTGGGGTATTAGAATACATTTCCAGTGAGCTCACTGCAAAGCTCTGTCTCTCATGGTGAAGGACAAACTCTGTTCTTTGAGAAAAATTGTATCAACCTGATCCAAAAGCCATTTGGAAGGCCTTAAAAGGACCCTGAAAATTAAGATTTCAGGAGGATGGTGTCTCAGGGACCAGGACCCAAATCACTGGCTAAAAAGTAGAAAGTTTACCATCAAGAAGAGTCAGTCATTCTGTCAGGGGGAAAGGATGTCCTGAGCTAATTCCATGCAGGCTTTGTGGACTCCACCCCCACTCCAGACCAAAGCCATCAGGACATTGGGAAAGACAAATCCCGTCACCACCAAAGGGAAGGTGGCTGGGACCTAAAGGTGGAGTTAAGCAGCCAGGGGTGGTATAAAACCAAACACGTGGGCCTTGGGGTCTCTCTCTCTCTCCTGCCTCCTGGCTTCACGGCTGGTGGCTGGCGGCCAGCTCTCAGAGTGCCATTTGGGATTCCAGATCGGAGGATCGGGTAGGACGCATTTAAAACTTTATCTCCCACTTTTCTCCCTGAGTTGTACATTTCCTCATTTCCCCTTCCCTTGTAAATAAACCTTTTATTAACCTTTCGTGTGTGCCTGCAGTAGAGCATTGATAAGTCCTTGTAAGCGCGCGGGTGAGGACCCACAGTCAGGCAACCCATTTTGTATCGGGGTTGCCCTGTAACAATTCCTGCAGTGGCCTGCAGAGTTAGCATGTTTACATTTTTTTACAAAACCGTATTTTGAGTCTCTGGAAATCTCTTTTAAACATCGCAGTACAACCACTGGACATTAAGAGGCCAGGTTACTAGACAGTGCTGAAGGCACAATTCTGCCTGGCAAAGACAGTTCTCGTTCAAAATGGGTCTCCTGTGATCATAAAAATAGAAGTTTTTGATGTGAGAGAATAGAAGTCTTATCTCTTGAAGTAAGCAGTCTTCCAGGCCCATTTCTCCAGACCAGTTTCTCCAGTCTCACAGAATGACAGCTTCTACATAGTTCTACCATTTGAGCAACCAAGGTTCCAACACTGTGGATTCCACATGGCTTCAAAATAAGGGAAAAAAAGAAAAGCAGAGGAAAAAGAAACACCTTGATTTCCGTGTTTTGCTGAGTGAATCCTTTAAAGAACTTGCCAGAACAAAACTGAGCCAGCTGTTTGCCTTTTTCCTGCCTTGGAATAGACAGCAAGACAGAAAGGGCCCTGATTTTGAAACCGAAAAATCTGGATTTAGACTCCTAGCTTAACCACTTGTACTCTAAGTGACATGGGGTAAATCAAGATGCCTCTCTGAAACTTGGTTTCCTCACTTGTAAAATAAGGGTGATAATATCCTGTTGTTAGGGGGAAAAGATGTCCTGAGCTAATCCCATACAGGCTTTGTGGACCCCACTCCCACTCCAGACTAAAGCCATCAAGACATTGGGAAAGACAAATCCCGTCACCACCAAAGGGAGGGTGGCTGGGACCTGAGGGTGGAGTTAAGCAGCCAGGTTGGGTATAAAAACCAGACACGTGGGCCTTGGGGTGGCTCGCTGTCGCTTGCCTCCTGGCTTCACGGCTGGTGGCTCGCGGCCAGTGCCATTTGGGATTCCAGATCGGAGGATCGGGTAGGACTCATTTAAAACTTTGTCTCCCACTTTTCTCCCTGAGGTGTACATTTCCTCATTTGCCCTTCCCTTGTAAATAAACCTTTTATTAACCTTTCGCGTGTGCCTGCAGTAGAGAATTGATAAGTCCTTTTAAGCGTGCGGGTGAGGACCCACAGTTAGGCACCCCATTTTGTATTGGGGCTGCCCTATAACACTGTCAGCATGTCACTGCACCAGTAAAATGAAATGATATGCAAAAAGGCTTGGCATAAGACAGGTTTTTGTAGGTTTTTTGGGTAAAATATCATTTCTTCCCTCCTGAGGTAGGTCATGAAAACATCCTGGCTGGCCTCAAGTATCCCCAAAGTGTGGCTTCCAAGCAGCCCCTCCAAGGGGTGGAATCACTGGGAATTTAAAACTCAAGCTCAGCCTGCAGTCTGAACGGGGGTGGACAGTGAGAAGTAGGACAGTCTCCCCCAGCTGCCCGGCTCCCCAAGTGGCTGGCGCTGGGCTCCAGGGTCAGACAGACACGGCGCCTGGCACGATCCTCCGGATGTGTGTGTACGACTTCCTGATGGTGACACTGCCGTGGTGCGACACCCCCCGGGGCAGGACACACTCCTCTGTCAGCTTCTGGGCCTCAGGGTCCCAGCACAGCACGGTGGCGATGACCTCATTCTTCTCGTCCCGGCCCCCTGTGATGTAGAGCCGGTTGTTGCAGGGTGCGATGCCACAGCTGGCCCGCTCATGGCTGAGCTGGGTCACCAGGCACCAGCTGTCCTCCAGAGGCGTGTAGGCGTACAGGGCCCGCATGGCCCCACCTGGGAGGAGGGAAAGACAGAGGACATCTCACTCTTGTTCCCGTTTCTTCCCCCTTGAACGGCTAACCCCCTCCTGCTGGTTTAATTGAGAACCATCTTGCCCAGAGAAAGTAGACTGATGACTGTCCAGAAAGCCAGAGGAGATAACTCTGCCAGGGAGTGCTGGAAACACTTCACAACCCCCTTCCAATTCTGTAGCCAGATGCTAACTGGGCTCCAAAGGACACCTGCCTTACCATGGATGCACAAAAGCACCCTAAGACTGCTCCCTAGAAGAAACACTGCCTGGTGCACCAGAGACACTCAGCTCAGGACCCCAGCTCTGATCTGCAACCATAAGCATGGACAGTAGTTGGTCATAAGACATCAGAAGAACGGGGGCATAAGGCTCAGGGCGGAACACCTGATAACAGTAGTGGCAAAACATGGCAGTGACTAGAGGTGGTGGCATGTCTTTGCAGAACGAGCATGACCTGGGGCAGACATGTGACTGACCACAAACACAGGAAACCTGAGGCAAGGGAGAGAAGAGGATTATCCTTAATCTGTTCTTCTATATTGCCTCCAGGAAGCCTTCTCTGATTAGCGATCATTCTCTGAAGTTATTTAATTTCAGCATCTCCTTTATCAGTAGTTTGCAATAGGCAATACTGGCTGCATATTTAAAAACACCTTGTCCTGTTTGTCAGAGCAGAGTATTCTGATTTGATTGGCCTGGAATGAAGCCTAGGTACCTCTATTTTTGTAAAAACTCCCTAGGTGATCCTAACAAGTATTCAGGATTGTAATCCATCAACCTTAATGTGTCGTGTAGTAGGTTTGCTTGTTTGCAGGGGTAGATGGGGGAAATTCCACGGAAAACAGATGTACTTTCCAACGCTAGGAATATCCCCTGGAGTAGAGAAGAAAGGAGGTACTTCAGGTGTGGGGCAACTACAAAATTTGCATAAGGGGCACATTTCTATGAGATGCTCAAACAAACTTCAAGAAATAATCTGGTAGTTCACCTGCCCTTTCCAATTCAGATTTTCTGTCAACTAGTTCCAAATCAGAGGTTGTAGATTTCTTTTCTAAAGTCACATCACATCATGAGATTTTTATTTTCTAAGGAAAGTAGCTTAGAAGTCGTATCTAAGTCAGGAGTCAATGAAAAATGCTTTTGTTCTAACTCTTACTGTCGAGGTTCATTCTACATCATATACTTTTTCTATCTGAAAAAGAATGATAAGCTGGGGCAATTAAACGGTTTTGTGGACATTTGATAACCTCATATGCTGTAATGTCATTCTTTTAAACAACATTCAATATCTTTATCTTTTTTGCTGTGAAAGGGAATAAACTGAGTGCTTAATAATCCCAGAACTCCTTTGAAAAGTATCAATGTGATCTTGTTGCTAATGTGGCCCTTTCTGCTAAAATTGGAATGTTGCAAATAAAATTAAGTACAAAAAAAAAATACATGCCAACTGTGATGGTCTGACTAGTGAGGATTTTCTTCTAAAGGCAATTTTTCAGAATCCTGAAAACAAGTGGTAAGTGTAAAATCACCATTAATACAAAATAATAACTACCAATAGCTACTATCGATTGGGCACTAATGTGTACATTTCAATTTCTATCCATTTGCTAATGTTTACAACACAACTTGGTTTCTGTAGCAACTACGGTTTCTCCCCAGTGTCAGTCTGCTTTGTCTCAGAAATGGAGGCTGATTCTGCCTCCAGAACTGCAAGGTAAATCCTGTGAAACCTGGAGTCAGCCCAATTTATCTTTCTTCCCTTTCAACCCCACCCACATCATTCAGGAATTCCTTATTTTCGGGAGAGCCCTGCCTGCTCTACCTTCAGGGCTACAAGGGTGGGGGAATTTCAGACAAGCTATTTGTTCGCTTACCAACAACATAGATGCGGTCCCGGAAACTCACTGCATTGATGCATTTAGCCTCCACCGGCATGGGCGACTTTAAATTCCACTTATTGGTTGAAGGGTCGTAACACTGGGTCTTGTCAGTTGCCAGTTTCCCATTGGGTCCTCCCCCTATCACATAGAGCTTCTTCTTATGGCTTGTGGCTGCGAAGGAGCTGACATGGACGAGGAGGGGTGCAGCCTGCAGAGGCACAGGCACCAGAAAAAGCTGTCAGTCACATACCCAGACCCCTGTACTAATAGAAGCAAGGCCAGGAATCAGGGGACACAAGCCTCTGCATCCTTTGCCTAGAGTTACAAGATCTGTCACTCCTTGAGAGAGAGAGAAGATCAAAGCACATGTTCCATCCTGGGGACCACCCTGTTACAAGACCAGCCTAGCACAGGTGTGTGAAGGAGATTTCTAGCCTGTTTCTCCAAGTCAAGCTCTCAGGGATAGAGGAGGCACAAGAATAAATGCCCATACAAACGAAACTGATGGAGGACAAGAATAGAAAAAACTGGAAAGGAGGCCTCACAAGACTAAAACCTGACTCACACAAGGAGGTGGGGGTCGAGGGGAATAACATGACCATTAACCCAGTTGTAGAGGTCGTGACCCTCAGGCACCAGAGCCTTATCACAAGGCATGAGACCCAAGCAGGATCAGATGCTACAGGAAGTGACGCACAGGCCTGAAGGTAAAGATATGGAGATTGGGCCCACCCTGGAATCTCTGGTCCCTTCCTGGTTTTGCCTACTTATCCCAAATCAGCAACAAACAGGCCACTCCACAGAGGAGTGACCTCTCCCAGAGAGAAGAGGACGCTATCAGTGCAGTCTCTGCACAGGCTCAGGGCAGCACTCCCACTGCCCACCTGTGACTATGCAGGTGCCTCTTTTCACCAACTCCCTTCCTCTGTAGGGCAGCAGCTTTCTGGCTGCCCGTGACCTGTACCATGTTGGGACTTCTCTTCACTGACCTCCCTCAGCGGAGGCCACTCTCCTCAAGGCCGCCCGCCTGCAACCATGCAGGCCTCTCTTAGCAGAACCTGTCCCTTTCCTTTTCCCTAATAAACCCGCTCTTTAAATGTAACTAATGTCTCTGACTCATGGAGAAACTCGCCTGGGAAAATTGCCGCGTGCCGCTGAAACGGGAGCTCTGGTGAAACCTTTCCCAGAGTGAACCGAAGGACCCTGCCACTCTACAAAACCCCAACAAAGCCAGTCAATGTTGGAGGAAAATGTTTTCTCAAACATGCATATTCATATTCCTTCATTCAAAAAATATTACTGAGTGCCTACTATGTGCAGGGCATTACCCTTAGTGTTTATATCCAGGAAGGAAAAACTGGAGTGAGGGTTTCAGGTGGCCATGGGTGAGCACATGCCCCCACCCTGAGTAACGTAGAGATTATGTGATCAAGTTAGACCTGTGCTTCTCCCCTGTGAACCCCTAGGAACTAATGGGGACTCCCAAGAGCCTCTTGCCCATTAACATGAGCCCGTTGGGTCACAGAGCAACTCTATGATGGGACTGCAAACTGACAAGCTGTTGGGCACAGGCCCCAAAATGTGAAGCATTCTCTGGACAGTTGTCTTCAGGATGACAGCTCTGGGCTGCATGACCTGGCTGCCTTTGTTTGTGGCCACGATGAACATGTTTTATATTCCCCAAAGCTGGAACATGCTGTGACATATGATCTGATAAGGAGAAAGATCATTTGAGATTGCAAATAACCTGGAGACACAAGAAGTGAGATCACATTACTTCTAAAAAGGTTTCATTTTATTGTGTAAGGACGCTTAAAATGAAATCTACCCTCTTAAATTTAAGTGTAAAACACAGTATTGTCATCTGTGGGCATAGTGCTTATGGCAGATCTCCAGGGCTTATTCACCTTGTGACACTGATGCCCTGTGCCTGTAACAGGGTGGTCACCAGGAAAGGGGGAGGTTTCAGGTTCCCTGTCCAACCCAAGGGAGGGTGGAGCTGAGCAGGGAGAGAAGCTGCAGAGGAGACTGAGGAGGGAAGGCAGCAGGATGGAGCCAGAAGGAGACCTGGAGGAGGCGCATGGAGCCTAGAGACACGTGAAGAAACTACACTTGCCTTTTGGTCATGGACTGGGTGACACAGATGTGGTGAGAGACCCGTAGGGAGGTGACAATGGCGGGTTTTGTCTTGATTTTGATTTTGCTCTTTTCCTTCTAGACTTGTCTGTGGGTCCCCACTGGAAGATGCTTTAGACTTGTAGCAGGCTTTGGGACCTTATTCTGGGCCAATCCTGCTTGGGTGGACTTTTACCCATGAGGGGACAGGTAACTTTGGGTGCCTGATTTAGAAACTATATTCTTTTTTTTTTTTTTAAGAGTTATTTATTATTTATACAAGCACTGGGTACAGTCAGAAGCACGGGAGGGTGAGAGAATTCACCAGAGCCAGAGCGGGGAGCAGAGCAGGCAGAAGGACCCAAGCACACTGCTGAGGGGAGCAGTGGGCGGCAGGAGAGGTCTGCGCACCATGTGGGACCCTCCTCCGGTGGCCGGGGAGCAGCTGGGGATCGAACTGGCGCTGCAGAGGCTGCGGGCAGCTTCGCAACCCAGCGCTCAACCGCTGCGCCACCGGGGAGGCCCTAGAAACTATATTCTTTGCCTTTCCTGTATTGTTTCCTAATTGTATTAAAGTTCCTTCCCATTAAAGTCTCATATGTTTCGTGTTGATGCAGCCGATGGCAGAACCTATTTAGGGCGGGCAGGTTTGTGGGATCTGGGGTGCCCCTCTCCCTGCCCTGTAAACTGACCAGCAGCCCTTTGCCTTTTCCTGAGTGTGCTATGTACCGAGGCTGCTTTGCTAAAGTCTCGTAAGCTGCATGCAAAGGGCTCATGGCTAATAGGCTTATAAATAAGGGCTGACTTCTAAACACTACCAAATGGCTCTGGCTTCCACAGACTAATTGACAGATCCTGTGTGCCCATTGTGGAGAAGACAAGGGCAGGCAGCATCTGAGGAGACAGACTCTGGGTCAAGGCATGAACCAAGGTTAGCACCAAGCCTCCCCTCCAGAGCCCGGGTTCTGGCCAGGGTAGGACAGGTGGCTGTACAGAGCTTCCCCACCTGGAAGGAAGTCACTTCTGTGACCTGGTCAGCAATCTGAAGCAGTGGCCTTACAAGGAGGGAACTCAGAGCCACTGAAAAGGTTCTCAGTGGAAGCAGAGAGATCTTAGAGCCATGTGCATTTGACCCTTGAACAAAGGGGTGGGGATTTAAGCTCTGCAATTGAAAATTCCCGCATGTTATAGTGGCCCATTCATATATACTGGTTCCACATGGGGGCATTCAACCAACCCACACTGGTAGTTGGTAGAATTCATCCATGTGGAGCCTACAGATAGAAAAAGAGTCCCCCTATAAGTGAAACCATGTAATTCAAATCCCTGTTGTTAAAAGTCAATGGTACTTACATGGGGGTACACTTTTTTGAAAACTTTGAAGTAGTAATACAGTGTCTCACAGAAGTCATCTCCCTTACCTCTGACCAGCAGTTGTGGAAGGGGTCATATGTCTCCACATTGTTGATCCTCTGCAGACCGTCAAAACCTCCGATCACATACACCTTGCCTCCCAACACCACCATCTTATGCCTCCAGCGGCCTATATTCAAATACTCAATTTGAATCCATTTGTTGATGGAAGAATTGTATTTCCAAACATCATGCTGTGTTTCTTTGCCACCTAAGAGTGATACAGATTTGAGGGGGGTGTTATCTTTTATATTTATTTTCTTACATAGTTAATTTTTGGACAGTATTTGGTTTCTCCCCTCAGGTGTAGTGTCCATAGTTCTCCCACCACCATCGCACCCATCATCACCACAGTCCCTTGTGCTCTTCTCTCCCCTGTTTTGACCCCTCTCCCTACCCGATGAGTCACATATACCGCTTTTTCCATAATTTCCCACACTCCCCTCCCCCCAAGGTCAGGAAAAAGAAACAGTCTTGGGGTAATCTGGTTGACAGAGCCAACAGGGGAACAGGGAGTGACAGCATAAGACAGGCAATTACAAGTCATTGTGTCCTATGTCACCCATGTGCTGTGAGAGTTTAGAGACAAGGTGGGCTTCAGGGAGATGGCACCCAAATCAGCCTAGTAGATGGGGTAATAGGAGTCTGGACTCAGTTTTTTGAAAAATAAGGGGAGGTGGGGGGAAGGCCTTGGTAAGCAGACCAATTAGAAAGCAGCATGAGTTCTATGTTTGCTTATTTATTTAAACAAAAAACAAAAATATAAACCTGGAAGAGTATCAAGAAATCTTGCAAAATTCTCTTGGTTCATATCTGATCTATATCAAATTTATAAATGGGAAAATACATAGAAGAAAATATAGATAAAACACTACAAGACATACATCTCAGTAACATCTTTAAAGTCTCATCCCCCAAAGCAAAGAAAATGAAGGAAAAGATAAACAGCTGGGATTACATCAAACCAAAAAGCTTCTGTACAGCAAGAGACATAACCAACACAACACAAAGAGACACCCTACTGACTGGGAGAAAATTTTCATACTCCATACAACTGATAAGGAACTGATCACAAAGATCTACAAAGAACTCACACAACTCACCAAAAACAAAGTAAACAATCCAGTCAAAAAAATGGGCAGAAGAGTTAAAAAGACACTTCTTCTAAGAGGAAATGAAATGGCCAAAAGATATATGAAAAAATGTTCAACATCACTTATAATCAGGGAAATGCAAATCAAAACCACACTGAGATACCACCTTACACCAGAGAGAATGGCACATATTAAAAAAAAAAATAGCAACAACAAATGTTGGCAAGGATATGGAGAAAAAGGAACTCTCCTACACTGCTGGTGGGAGTGCAAACTGTTTCAACCACTATGAAAAGTTGTGTAGAGGTTCCTCAGACTACTAAAAATGGAGCTACCATATGACCCAGCAATTCCATTCCTAAGAATCCACCCAAAGAACACAAATACATTAATTCAAAAGGAAACCTGCACTCTGATGTTTGTTGTAGCACTATTTACAATAGCTAAGATATGGAAACAACTGAATGCCCCAAAACAGATTACTGGATCCAGAAGATGTGGTATATATACCATAAACAATGGAATACTATTCAGCAGTCAAAAAGTATAAACTCATGACATTCACAACAACATGGAAGGGGCTAGAAAGGATTATGTTCAGTGAAATAAGCCAGAGGGGGGAAAAATATATCAATGGTTTCACTAATAGGAAGAATTTAGGGGAACCAAATAAGGGGTCAGAAAATAATAATAATAATAATTAGTAAATAAAACAAAATCAATAGGCAACTATAAATTAGAGACATTTTGCAGGGGGAGGAGGGGAGAAAAATCAAAACAGGAGGGAAGAGCACAATGGACTATGGTGATGGTGCACGGGTGAAGTGGTGGTGGGAGTTCTATGGAGAATACACCTGAGAGGAGAAAGCATACATTGTACAAAAATGAACAATGATGCAAAATATATAAATAAATAAATTTAAAATAAATAAATAATAACTATTAAAATTTATAAGTGGGGTTTGTCCTACTTCAAAACAAACTTTGTTTAAAAGAATGATTTGCTCACAATAGGTAATTTGAAAACAAGCTGATAAATCTGTTTTTCATAACAATTCTCTCAAAAGAAAGTACACAATTCCATTAGGGAGAGAGACTGACTTTGTTGGCGACTTCAATCAAACAGTCTATAGCTTTGTGTCTCACCAACAACTTTAAGCAAAAGATGTACTTTTCAGATTATAAATGTACACTAGTGCGGCAATGAATATCACTAATGAGTCTCCATGTCACAGGGAAGTATGGTAAAGCCCAGTAGTCAAGACCAAGAACTTAGGTCAAGGGCATATTCATCCTGAATTTTTATAGGTGTTGCCAAAGAGCCTGGCAAAACTGTCTTTGTTGACTTTCCCATGCCCTACTCACAGAGGCTATTAGGAATTGGAGGTTTTGTTTGGTTTCTTTGGGTTTTGTTTTGTTGGGTATTTTTTTAATTGTTTTGTTTATAGAAAAATTATATCACAGTTTGGTTCTCCCTGACTGCTAGGGACTCTGAGTTTCTTTCTTTGCTGTGACTATTTTGCTCATATAGTTTAACCATTTTTCGTTAGGTTGTGTACTTTTTAGAGGTCTCTACTTACTCAAAACACTGTGATATTGACCCCATTTAGGCAGCATCAAAAATAATAAAATAATTATAAACTTTCAAAGAAAGGTATGCAAACTATATCGAATTTGGATTTGAATCCTGCCTGGTTTTTACCATTGTGTGACCTTGGAGCACATTTCTTAACTTTTCTGAATCACCGTTTTTTTTCCATTTGTATCTCGGAGATGAAAATCAATTACCTTATGGAGTTGATGTGCTACCAAAGTGTAAATTCATCTACAATGCCATAAAGATGGTGAGAAATCTATCAGTTACTAAATATTAATTGAGTTTTTATTCTCTAGCCAGGCACAATGCGTAGGCCCTGAAAACCTTGTTGACTCTCATGGAATTGAAAGACTAATGAGACAGGCATAAAGTAACTGCAAATAATTAAGCAAACAACTTAGAAGTAAGAAATGAAAAAGAATGGATTGTTACTAATGCATCTAAAAATATGACCTAATAAACTTGAGCGGAGACGTTGGGTTTAAGGGACAAGCAGACATTTTTATTCACTACTGTGTACTGGTGTCCAGGGTTCTATGCGGGTAGCAGGCACCAAATAAACTCCAGTGTCACTTTTCTTCTTCTTTTCCATGAAGAACTGGACCTAACTGCCTGTCCCCCCAGATGCTAGTGCAATACAACTCACATGTTAGTGTTCATGCAGTAACGTGCTCTCTGGGAAAGACCACCTGAGCTCCTGATTTCCACATTCTGACCCAGTCAGAACCAAGTCACTCCACTCACAGTAAATCTAAGATGGTTGCCTGGCCCTCGCTCAGGAAGATACATGGTGCACTGGCTGCTTCAGCATCACATGGCTGCTGCTTACCTGAGATGTACACCTCATTTTTTAATGTCACACATGCAAATTCCACCCACTTCTTATTCTCTGTCTCTAGCTCGTGCTCCGTCATTGGGAGCTTGGCCACCTCCAGGCGGCTGCGTCTCAGGGGGTCCAGGCAGGTCACCTCAGCCACAAAGCGTTCATCTTTCGTGCAGCCGCCAATGATCATGAACACTTCAGACTGGAATTCATGCATTCTGGGCTTGGTGCGCTCTGAGATGATCTGGAAAGTCAAAAACAGTACCAAAGGCAGGATGACACAAGGTTCAGAGCTGAGGCTGTGGAGCTAGCATAGCAGGGCCTGTTCCCCGTTCTGCCACTGTACAATCTTGTGCTAGCACCTTCTTGAGCCTCAATTTTGTCATCTGTATAATGGGGATATTTGTGGTAATTAGTACAAGTTTGTTGTGAGGATTAAATGAGATCTTAAATGAAGTGTGCCTTGCCTGGGGACTGGCGCTTGACACATACTCAGTAAAGGTTATCTGTGGGTGCTTTTGCTGTTTTTTAAGAAATTCAGATCTGTTTACCATCAAATGCACTTTCCTGCCTCTCCCTTCCTGCCTGTTCTGAAGACTCGATTCCTGGAATTTCATTTCTGGTCACCTCTTACTCCACCCCGCTCCCTCTCCTTGGTTTCAATTTCTTAACAATATTCCAGACTTTGGTTTGAAAACAAACTTTTGAAAGAGAAATCTTGACAACAGGCAGAAAGTTGGGAGAAAGGAACCAATAGTGAGTGGGCTGTGGTCAGGGAGTTTAGGGGAGTGAGTCCCAACATCAAGCATATGACCTTCCAGAACCTCAAATGAAAAAAGGCATTTGAGCAGCACCTGTATTGACCTGGAGGCTAAAAGAGCACATCCACACTTTGGGGAATTACAAACAGTGCCTTAGGACTGTAGGAGAAGAGAGAAGTTGGAGATGATGTTAGTGAAGGTGGCAGAAGAAGTATGGGAGGCCAAGCTCTTGATGTTTAGGTAGGAAATGTGGGATTTATCCTGAAAGTGGTAGGGACCCAGTAAGAGGGTTAAGCCCAGGTGGGAAATGATTAGTTTGAGCTTTAGGTCATTCAGCTGATGAATTGGAAGGAGGTCACCATGAAGGCAGAAAGGTGAGTTTTGAGGGATTTTCAGAAATTCAGGAAGGAAGTAGAGACAGTCTGTATCAAGGTATGTCAGAGGAGACCCAAGAGACTCAAGGCTTCCCAGAATGGGTAAACTAGGACAGCGGCACACTCTGTTCCTGCACGGTCACCCCCGCAACCTCCCGCCCTTATGCAACTGGGTAGAAGAAGGATGTTCCAGGTGTGGTGTACAGTATATCTTAGGAGAGTCCTTAGCAGACCCCTGACCTTAGGAGAGTCCCTAATAAATAGTAAGTGATTGGTAAATGTGAGATTTCCACATCTCACCTAATTCTTTCAATAGTTGTCTAAAATGAAGTGTCATCCTCATTTTACAAATTAGAAATCCAAGGTTTCTGGAAGCTCATGACTCAAACTAGAAATCTGCAGCAGCATCCTCTCCATGCCCTAGGGATTTGTGAACCAGTCTCACCAAAACCTTTGCAAGGCCTGCTCACACCTTCACTCGCTGGCTGACTGGCACTTCTCAACTCACCTCATTGCCAGAAAGGTGATACATCCTTGCTTCCTGGAGCAGCGGGAAGACCTCCGGGCACTGCCTGATGAGAGGATCTGCCTCCACCGTCTCCACAAAGTACCAGGGGTCCAGAAGTGGCAGGCGCACGTTCTCCAGGACATAGGGGAGGAGGCAGAGTCGCTCTGACTGTTTGTGCCGGACCCAGCTCATCACTGTCTCGAACACCTGAGCCTCCTCTGTCACATACAGCTCATCACTCCTCAGGATGTGGTATAGAGTGTCCACAGGAAGTTCCAGGAAGTCCTCTGAGTTCAGAATCTGCACAAAGTTTTGGATGATGTAACCCTGAACCTGCTTCTTTAGTCTCTCCAAGGAGTGTGTGTCTGCCAGCCTCAGTATTCCAACACAGTTTTCTGGGTTCAGGGCTTCTGTGAGGAAGCTGGCACAAGCATCCACCATCCGCAGGAACTAAGAGAGCAGAAGTGCACCAAATCAGCTCAAAAGAGGATTATTCCACAAAAGTTTATCAGGGAGCCACATGTGGCTCACCTAAATGATTGACAATAGGAAACTAGCTAACACATTCCTATTTCAACAGCATTAACAAAATATGTTGTAGAAAAATATTAAATGATTTGGGAAATTCATTTAACAGTGTATTGAGTTGTATTGAGTTGAAAAATCAGTGTATTGAGTTGAAAAATCCATTCACAAGATGTAGAGAAAAAGGAACACTTTTCCACTGCTGGTGGGAATGCAAACTGACCCAATTACTGTGGAAATCTGTATAGACAACCCCCAAATTACTAAAAATGGAGCTACTGTATGACCCAGCAATTTCACTCCTAGAAATCTACCCAAAGGACACAAAAGCATTAATTCGAAAGGAAACCTGCGCTCTGATGTTTATTGTAGCACTACTCACAGTAGTTAAAATATGGAAGCAACCTATTGACAAATGCCCCAAAGCAGATGACTGGATCAAGAAGATGAGGCATCTATATATACAATGGAGTACTATTCAGCAATCAAAAAAAATAAACTCATGACATTTGCAGCAACATGGATGGAGCTGGAAGGGATTATAATTGGTGAAAATAGTCAGAAGGAAAGAGAAAAATATCAGATGGTTTCACTTATAGGAGGAACATAGGGAAACCAAATAAGGGGTCAAAAAAAAAAAAACCAGAAAAAAACTAGTGTGAAAACTATAAGTCGCAGACATACAGCAGGGGGTCGGAGAGGGATCAAATCAGCAAGGAAGAGCACAAGAGATTACACAAATCACGGGTGACTTGGTAGTAGGAATTTTGTGGGTACTATACCTGAGGGGAGAAATCAAACATGGTAGAAAAATGAACAATGATGTAAAATAAATAAATAAATTAACTAATTAATTACTTAATTAATTTTTATTTATTTATTTATTTTTAAAGATTTATTTATTTATTATTTATACAAGCACTGGGTACAGTCAGAAGCGCGGGAGGGTGAGAGAATTCACCAGAGCCAGAGCAGGGAGCAGAGCAGGCAGAAGGACCGAAGTACACTGCTGAGGGGAGCAGCGGGCGGCAGGAGAGGTCTGCGCGCCATGTGGGACCCTCCTCTGGTGGCCTGGGAGCATCCGGGGATCGAACCGGCGCTGCAAAGGCTGCAGGCAGCTTCGCAACCAAGCACTCAACCGCTGCGCCACCAGGGAGGCCCTGGATAAATTTTTAAAATAAATAAAAATAAAAATCCATTCATGGAATCTGATCCGGCCTCTAGATTTCATCAGCAGGATTAAATCTTACAGGAACTATAAGGGAAAGAGGAACATGTCAAGTGATGCCACAGGAGTGCAATCAGCAAAATTCAGACTGTGGGAAACTCCACAGAACAAGCAGTTCAGTTTCTTCAAGAAATACATCACAAGGGGAGGGCCTCCCCGGTGGCGCAGCGGTTGAGCGCTGGCCTACGAGGCTGCCCGCAGCCTCTGCGGCGCCGGTTCGATCCCCGGCTGCTCCCCGGCCACTGGAGGAGGGTCCCTCATGGCGCGCAGACCTCCCCTGCCGCCCGCTGCTCCCCTCAGCAGTGTACCTCGGTCCTTCTGCCTGCTCTGCTCCCTGCTCTGGCTCTGGTGAATTCTCTCACCCTCCCATGCTTCTGACTGTACCCAGTGCATGTATAAGCAAAACAAACAAACAAACAAATAAATAAATAAAACATGCCTCTATTTAAAAAAAAAAAAATACATCACAAGGGGAAAAGAAGGGGAAGGAGAGCTTAAGGAGAAAAAACTATAAGAGACACATCAATTGATTGTAAAGTACGAAACTTATTTGGATTCCTGATTTAAGCAAAATAATTACAAAAGTCAGAGAAGTGTTTATAATAATTAATATTTGATGATATGAAACAGTTATTAATGTTAAGTATTATGGGTATGGGTATTATGGGTATGTTTAAAGAAATATACAAGTTACATTAGGTAAAGAAAAATATAAATATATAAATTAAACATTTATTTTTCGATATATACATAGAAATGTTTGTGGATGAAATGAGACAAGCACTTCACAAAATCATATGTACATTATGATCTTTTTTATAAAGAAAAAAATTATGATTTTTTTTTTTTATGAAGAACATAAGCATAGGAAAAACACTGCAAGATATATGCTAAGGTATTAACAGTTGCTTTCTCACTGCATATCCAAATCTTGGAACAAGTTACGCTGCAGTAACAAACAACCTGTAAATTTCAGGGGTTTACAACAATAAATGCTTACTTCACACCCACGTTACAACCTTCACAAGCCTCTTCATTCCAAGACCCAGGATAACAAAAAGCCCGTAACTGAGAGGTGCCATTTTTGTGGTAGCGGAGGGAAAAGAACATGGCAGAATCACACAAACGCTCTTAAGACATTTGCTCAGAGGTCATCTATGCCATTTCCGTTCACAGTTAACTTCGAGGAATATGCCTTGTGGCAAAATTCGTTGTGGAAAAAATAATAATCCTCCCTTAGGGATAGATAGAGAATATACTGTGTAAATAATATAAGGTACCACACTCTTTAATAAGACTCTAGGAAATTTTTTGTTATTTTGTTTATATACTTTTTTTTTAAATAATAAATTTTATTTTTATATTCCCCATACAATTGCAACCCCCCCCCCATTCTGATCCCAATCCCTCCCCTGTTTATATACTTTTTAAAACCTCTATATAGAATAAGCACTTTGTAACTACAAATGAATATGTAAAATTAATGCTGGGTTTTGATGTCTTACTTTTAAATCATCATCACTCTTTTAAGTCTCTGAATCCCCTGTGTTACACAGCACCTTACAGCTTACAAAGCACTGCCATATCAATTATGGTATTTGATACTCATTTTGAAGAAGAGGGTGTCTCAAATGTTTCTGTTCATTCTTATTGGTTACTCTCTGTCACTTAGGCTTGTGGGAGTTCAAGCTACTATTTCCTCTTCTTGTCCTCTGGATTCAAGTTTTGTTTTTTTTTTTTTAAATGCAGGAATCCTCCTTTTTTTTTTTTAAGTTTTATTTATTTATTTATACAAGCACTGGGTACAGTCAGAAGTGCGAGAGGGTGAGAGAATTCACCAGAGCCAGGGCGGGGAGCAGAACAGGCAGAAGGACTGAAAATACTGCTGAGGGGAGCAGGGGGCGACAGGAGATTTCTGTGCACCATGTGGGACCCTCTCCGGTGACCGGGGATCGAACCGGCGCTGTAGAGGCTGCGGGCAGATTTGCAGGCCAGCGCTCAACTGCTGCACCACCAGGGGAGGCCCTGGATTCAAGTTTTTGTGGCCTTGGGTTGTCAATTCATGGAAGGAGAGGAAAAAAGGAGACTGAGGGAAAGATGTCCTGGAGGATCTATCTGAAGGCAGGGTCCAAAGAGAGTTCGGACAAGACAGACGTGAGGGTGTAGGGGGTGCGGGGGCGACACACCCTACAGAAGAGTAGCTCCAGTGACAAGAACCAGGGGGAGCAGGGTTGTGGGCCTGAAGGGTGTGAGTGGAAACACGAACGGTCTCAGAATGGATCAAATTGACTTTGACTGACCTTTACTCTAGAACATACTAGGGTCACACATTTTTATTTTGGGGGATCAGCCCCATTGCAAAATTTTTTATTTTTCATGTCAGACCACGCTTTCTTAATGATCAGTTTCCAGAACATTGAGGGTAGGAACACTGGGGAAGGACTGAACTGTGCCTCAGATTGCCGTGGCTGGGCCATCAACCACCAGCAGATCTGTTTCTCGCTTGAGCAACTGTGAAGACAGTTGAGACTGAGAATTCTGACACCTGTTTAGTTGTTTACAGATTTTCAGTTCGAGAGTAAAAATATACAACCGAGACCAAGCCTCACTGAGCATGTGACCTCTGTGGCCATGCCCACAGATACCTGTGAGGGCTGAGAGGGCACTTACTTAAGGTAGTGGCTTCCAGGACAAAAGCGTAGGCAGGCCAAGCCAGCGTTGGTGTGAAAAGAGGGTAATTGGAAACTAAGCAGATATTTTTAAAACATGTAAACTCTCTCTGGGAGCCACTTAAAAACCTGATAGCAGGGGTTGTTTTGAGAGCTGGTATCTGGTCACAGAGAGAATTACTTTTCACTGCTTATCTTTTTGTGCCACTTCAAATTGTGTGTCATATGGAGAAATTACTTAATAAAATCAATGAAATTTCTCATGAACTGAGAAAACACCATAAGGGGACACATCAAAAGTGCAGCTTTATACGTAAATTATCAATTTGTTTTTTAGACTTTGCTGTAAAGATCGAGTTTTCTACCCTGAATGTGAAGTTACTGCTAAAGTTAGAAAAAAATAAAATAACACTATCTTGCAAAATACAAGAACACTATGAAAAAACAAAATACAACATAAAAAATGAAATAAGCTCCTACTGTGTGCCAGCTCACCTGTTACCTAGCTCATTTAATCCTCCTAACACTATAAATTATCATGTTTATTATCATTCCTGTTTTAGAGACAAAGAATACAGATTCAGAGGAGTCAGCTAATTTCTTCAGAGATATGTAATAAGAGGAAGAGCTAACATTTGAACCAGTCTTATCTGATTCCAAAAATGCATGTTTTCACACTTTTTCAAGCTGCCTCAGGTCAAATAGTGGGCATGGGCTAAGGACTTGGAAAAGGCCTGTCTGATTTGCACACTTCACCAGACTGGTCGAATGGTCTGCTCCACGCAGCCATGTGAAGGCCTGCCAACCCCTGCCCCATGAATACTGATGAGCAAAGAAGGAAACCATGAAAGAGAATCAAGTACCAAAGTTCACAATGTTAGAAACATTGACCCAAATGTGTCTCTCTCCACTCAGAAGCCAGAATATATGCTGAGTATCTGTCACATTGGGTTTAGAAGATCAGTGCGGGAGGCAGACAGTCATCAGATAATCACATCAAAATATAGAATTGCAACTGCAATAAGTGC